ATATAAAAATTGCAAGAAACATTCAAATAAATATGGAAATACAAGAAATATTAACAAAATATAGGGAATGCAACAACCATTTATATAAATATTAGAAATGCAAGAAATAATAACAAAATATAAAAATTGCAAGAAACATTAAAATTAAAATTAATAGGACATTAAAATTAATAAAATGAAAATTACAAATAATTTACCTCATCGCTTAGATTTTCCCCGCTTGCATGGTTATTCATCGCTTTTGTGAGGGCATCTCTCCATTTCCCCCGCATTGCACGCGCCAACGGTAAAAAAAATTCAAAACCGCGTGCTGACGTCAGCCGCGCACTCGGGCTCCCTCCGCCTTGGGGCCAGCACTTGCCCCAGCCCGAGGGGGCCGCTGGAAATGGCCTTTAGTTGTTGAACAGGGCGGCATCATTCTGGCTAGGCATTATTTGAGCATTGACCTAGACCTTGCGCAGGCTTCGGGTCAGCTCAAGTTCCAAATTCAATGATCGAAAATAAAAACAATTTAGAGTAAAAAGTGAAGAAAATATTGAATAGAAAGTGAATAATAGTTGGAGAAGGAGAAGATGTATGAGAATTTGTTGTTAAAACTGAAGAGTAGGTGTTGATATTTATAGAAAAAAAGTCAGTATTTTTTGGGATTTTTTAAAAAAAATTTATGATTTTTTTTTCATCATTTTTTGCCTGGAAAAATTCCAGGCCGTAGGATTGGCTGACAAGGCGAAATCGGAAGGATGAGAGGCCGCCACGTCGCACATATCCGTTGGGCGCAAAAGCTGACGCGCGATTTTGAATTGCACCAACGATAACAAAAATTTAAAACCGCGTGCTGACGTCACGCTGGCATCAGCGATGACGTCAACCGCGCATTCGGGCTCCCTCTGCCTTCGGGCCAGCCCAGGCAAGTGGACCCTACACTGCCCGGGCCAGCACTTGTTGCTGGAAGCTGGTTTTGGGCTCTCTCCCCCCCACCCCAACCCGAGCCTGAGGGGGCTGCTTGAAATGGCCTAAATATGCCCCCATCATCATTCCTCTCTCTCTGCAACCAACAACCACCCCACCATAAAAAATATAGAGAAATAGAGACTTCAAAACACACATATGGGGTTTTCAACCCCCTCCATCCTCATTACTCTCCAACACCTTATTCATCATGCTAGATACAAGTTTGTGATTATATACTATGTCTTTTGATATTTATAATGTTTCTTTTTCTTCTTTTCCGTCTATCTTCTCCTCTCTCTTTTTTAATTTCTTTTCCTTCTCTCTTTTCCCCTCTCTTTTTTTACTTCTCTTTAGTTTTCTCTCCTCTCTTATTTTTTTTCCTTTCTTTTTCTTCTCTTTAGTTTTCTCTCCTCTCTTTTTTATTTTTATTTCTTTCCTTCTCTCTTCTCTCTCTCTCTCTCTCTCTCTATATCATTTTTTTTCTTTCTTTTCCTTATATTTTCTCTCCTCTCTCCTTTTTTTTATTTAAATTTTTTCAGTTGTAATTTTTGTAATATGCATGTTATTATTTATTAACCCGTGACACGACTCGAAACTTGCACGATAAAAAACGACCGGAACCTGACACGACACGCTTATTAAATGGGTTGTATTCGGATTGAACATTCTTGACACGTTTAATATTCCGACACGACACAAACCCGACTCATTGCCAGCCCATCCAAACCCACCACAAGCCATACCCACCGCAACCAAAAATAAAATAAAATAGGGATACAAGAACAACGAATAAATTTTTGGTGGGGATGGGTTTGTGGGTTGCGGGGGCAAAAAGTTTGGTAAAGAAGACGACGGCATGGCCTTGGTCTTTCAGGGTTGGATCTGGTATTGCGATTAGATTCAGTCTGTGACGGATCTAAAATGGTGATTGGGTTGATTCCCCGGTGAATCTGGAGTTTCGGGCTTGTCCGATCTGAAGAGAAAGAGAGAGGTTGTCTTGAGGTGGGGAGACGTTAGGATGGAGGCCTCCTCCTCTCAGCCGAGCCTGTTAGACCAGTATCCTCCTCACCATCATCAAAATCACAACAATCATGGGCAATATTTTAAGGCAATTCCTTATTACAAAGAGACCACATTTTATAGATATGATTTTATATAAACTGGATAAAAATAAAAGGTTGGCTAGGTACGAAGGGAGGGGGTGGGGTGAGGGAGGAGATTTTTTAGTGGCGATGGTGGAGGGGGGTGGAGAAGACGGTGCTGTTAGTTTTTTAAATTTCCGGTTAATTTTTTCTTTTGTTTTTCTGTATTTTTATGGTTATTTTTCTTTTATTATTAATAATTGAGTTAAGTTTTTTTAAAAGAAAAGGATATTTCTTTTTTATTTTTTACACATGGCGTCTACATGGCATCCAATTCAACAAATTTGTAGGTCCCATACATGCCACATCAACATTTTTAACAGAATTTTTGATTGACTTGAAGGTGGGGGGTAAATTGAAATGCAAAACATCAGTCAAGGAGGTCAAGTGGGTCACTTTAACTTTCAAATGGTGAAGTAAGATTTGACCATAGTTTCAAGGGGCACTACAGTAAATAAGTATTTTTATTTTATTTTATTTATAAGTTTATCAAATACACTATTCCGTTAGATTTATTATCCAATTGGTAATTAGTATGTCTCCTTATGCTTCCTCGGCTATGAGATTTGGACGTGAAAGCGACATTCACTTGCATTTGTGATTTGTTATAGATAAGAATACGGTCCCCAAATTTAACTTTGGAGATTTGGTTTTTGTAGGGCTAAGATTGCTCCCTTTTAATTTGTCTCTAAATCGGCCAAATCCATCAACAAAGCGACCAAACAAAGATGCCCCCACAAAAGAAAAGGACTTGTCAATTTGGCGGGTAGGCCAAATGCCAAAAATACTCTTAACTAAACACCTCAATTTTTAAGTAGGAATATGACATGGAAATTTGGCCGGCTCTATGCTCTATATGTTGGCACCCTATCATGGGGACCAAAGTGGGTTCTCCATTCCATCATGGACATGACACTTGTTTAATCATCGTTGCATAGACGGTCGAGATTCAATTAATGTATTATTATTATTTTTAAATTTTTTGATAAATAAATAAAAAATTAGGTTTTGGGTTGGTATATGGAGCAAATTACCACTTTCCAATTAATACAAAATTAGGCCAATGGGGTTTAGCCCGGTGAAAATGGGCATTAACTTGTAGATCAGTAGTCTCATATTCGAACACTTTGGTAGTGTGTGTAACTTTGACAAACTAAAAACCAGAAGAAAATAAATAAATACAAATGTGGGCCTTTGCCTGCCCAAAAATGCCAACAGAAAAGATAGAAAGAAAAAATGAACAGATATACATGGGTCTTGCAGCACTCTATGGGCCTGGGCCCAAGCAGAAGCCTGTACCAGATATGACCCATCAATGTGAATTCATTTAATCAATTTTTGTATAGCAGTAAATTCATATCACTAATATGATTAGGTGTTGATGATTCTAGAATGTGTGTTATTTTCAATTGGTTTTATTTCTCTGGTACTTGTAAATATAATTTATTTAGTAAAATTTTTGAGAAGTTAGCAATGCAACGCTGAACAATTTCAAGACATAGAGAAGTTAGCAATGCAAGTTCTGAAGAAGTGACAGGTTTAGTAAGGTGAAGATGATCAAAATTTAAATGACTGTCTATGTCCAGCCATGAGTAAGTATGATGCTGGCCAAAGAAAAAGAAAAAGGATGAGTATTATGACTTATTGGTTTAATGGAGAAAAAAATTACCTAGTCACGTGAAGAGAGAAATAGAAAGAATGGGCATATGAAATCGTTTCAATTCTCGGTTTGATGGGTTGGCTGAGTCAGCTTGTGATGTGGCAGAGTTGGTTGGATTGTTGGTTAGTTTGGGAGAAACTGTTAAGACAGTTGGGTACTTAAAAGACAGAATTGTATGAGTAA